GATTTTGGAACAAATTATTAAGAACTAATCAGTTTCGATTTGGTTCCTTGTTCTAATATCGGAACCGTTGGGAACCGAATGATTCTCATAGGATTTTTTTCCTTTTTTGGTAAAATATATGACTTAATCTTCAATCACTTTTATAAAAAATAATCGAGTTCCTTTTTTATTTTAGACTCCAGTACTTTCCTTCTCTTTGATTCTCCATTCTTATAATTCTTTGATTAATTGATTCTTAAGTCAAATTAGAATATTGAATAAATCTATATCTAAATAAATTTATTTACAATATATAATTTCATTTCTAATATGCGAAATTTTTATTTTGTTTTCACTTCGATTATATAGTTGTTGATCTGATCAAAACTTTTCATCTAGATTTCTACAAATTATACCGACAGAACCAGAAATTGCAATAAATTTTTAAAGGGTGTCCAATTCTATGTAGGATTTTGATTTTGATTTCGATTGAAGTTTGTTTAATCATTGGAGTACTATGCAGTTTATATAAGTTGATGATTGCTTGATGATAGTAACTTTTATTATTTTGATATTATTTTTAAATTTGTAGACTTAGTTTTCTTTTAATATTTAAATAGTATGTTCGGTTCTTCTATATTTTATTAAAAGTATCACGTGTGTAGCAACTTTAAATTTTTTATTAGTGAATCTTTTATTTTGACATTTTTAAAGAATCGGATCGGAACCGATTAGTTCGGTTCCATAGCTAACTATGAAATCAATGGTTCCATTTCTGAAATTTTCATTGGTATTTGGTTCGGCCCACTCCTAAATCCACTTAGAGATTCGTGAAATTTATGCAAGTTGCAATTAGAAAAGAAATACGTTTAATCATGAATTACAATGAGAGTATAATAAGATGGTTGTTAATAATACTTCTCCTAGTATTGAGTTGTTCGATTGTAGTGGGTGGTGCCATGGCAGTGATTTAACTGTAGGTGGAGTAGGGTGGACGAGGTGTATTAGAGGAGATGATCGATTTTCCTTCTTATCTTTTCCATTTTAATTCCTCTTTTTCTTTTCATTGTTTTAACGGTTTTAAATAGGGAAAGGGGGACTTTCAAAAAAATAAAAAAGATAGGAGGTAAAACGTCCCGATGTGATCTTTCAAGATCATCGACACCACCGCAATGGAACATGAACACTAGGCTAGATGGAATTTTGCGTTGAATCATGATGGCGGAGCTCCGACTAATGTGGCTCTCTTGTGCCAAAATCGGAATAGCATGTGATGGGCAATGACGGGAGCAATACGATCTATAAGTGTTGCATATGGACTTGACCTCACCTGAATAGCATGTCGGCGAGGACAGAGAACATGACCCCGTCACAAATTCTCTACTTTGTTTTTTTTTAAATTTTCAATCTAATTCATTTAACAACAACAACAACAATAATAATAATAATAAGTCAAATATAAATTATTCAATATTCAGAAACATGATATTATAAATCATTGCAACTTTTGCACAACTATTCATCACATAAGTTATATAATTCTTGGCAAATAAATGGAAGAAAATTCAATTAATGATTATAAAAATCACACTTGAAACATTAGATAGCATAGGCAACGACTGAACTCCTCACTTGATACATTCCATCATCCCACACCAGAGAACCAAACAACTTGTTCGAACTCAGTGTTGCTACAACTGTAACAACAATTAATGTTTGTTTTTGCCCAATAGATTTGAAAGAAAGAACAGAAGGTACTACCTTACTACTGAGTCCGAACGGTGCCACAACAATTGTTTTGTACATGGATACTGGTGAACCGACATTTGTGATTGTCCAATGAAAGACACAGGTGACAAAACCACCAGAGGTTGTAGATAATGCAAGGAAGAATAGTTTGGATCCCACACTGTGCCATTGTTAGTTTGGGTGCAAGTGCTGTTATTTCCAATAATAAGACTCAACTGCTTAGTGTTGTAACCTTGCCCACATAAGAATTTGATGTAGTCATTTTCTCCCAATTCGGGACTTCTAGCCTTTCACTAGATCGATATGACCGGAACCATATGCAAATTCCCTGTCCATTTTTATTGTCGCACTGCTTGGAGTAGTTGAAGAAATTAAAGAGAGCATTGGTTACTTTCCATAACATTATCACCGTTAAGTTGTGAAGCTTAATTATTGTCATTCAGTATGCGAATGGACCTCATAAATTTTGATTTTCTCCTAATTTATCTTATAAATAGGAACGATAATTCTACTTTTGTATTACCATCATAAAAGAGAAAAAGAAATTACAGAATATAGGCATGCAATTTTATCTTGTAAATTTCTTTTCAACATGATGAATTATCATAGTGACGGAAGAGGACATAATCTAACATGGAAACGAACATCTATAAATCTTTCATATCTTTATTTATTTCTATAAATCGATTGCTCTTGGAATATAATTAGGGTTTCTAATTCTGTGTTCAGGGAAGAGAATTAACTACCAGTTGTCATCAAATCAGACTTGATGGCAGCGGGAGACTAGGTTGGGTTAAAGGATTTAACATAAGCAACTGAAGCGGTGGCATGAGGACAAGACATGGATGTTCGAGATATAATTTTGTATGGAATAACTATGGTATCTCCTTCTAATCCAGTAACTGTAGTTGCTTCTGACCATGCAGCAACAATGTCAATTCCAGGTGCACATAGAGCAGGCTATAGGAATGCAAAAAGGCAACTAACTTAAGTAGTGAAAAATTAATATATCGTACTATTGTAATATTTATTTTACTCGATTCAGCCATCCAACTTAGTTCGAAGGCCAAGAATCCATCCTCATGCGAAGTCTCATATCGAGATAATGTCACTTGTAATTGGATTTGATCCTCTTGACAAAAAGGAAACAACAAAGGGGGCCTTTTGTGTAGTGCTTCAACACACTTTAAGAATTGTAGCGGTCATATTACTGCATTGTAATTAACAGTATATATAATTAGTTTAAATTTTGTAAAAAGTATGCTAAAATATAAATTGTTTGGAGAAATGAAAAGGAGGGTGATGTGAATTATATATTTACTTTGTCGTGTTGATATAGTTAAAAACTTCGGTACCATCCCCAAGTAGGATGCTGATAAGCGAAAGGAGAAGGCAAAATCTTTGATTCTGTCATCTTGCATTATAGATCTGGTTACACCAGCAACTAGAGGTTGTTCTCCACCACCTAATGTGAAAGGACAATGGTTCCATTTACCAGTTTTTTTGTCTAAGGTGTCGGGATCGCAATACCTACATTTACTCATCATTAATATTCATCATAAAAATGGAAACAAAAAAATAAAGAAAACAAGTTACTTTCTTGAGGGTCTTTTCTATATTCTTTCAACCTTGATTCGGAGCCATCAAAACCTTGTGCAGGTACTTTTCCACCATAGACTAATGAGTACATCTCGTCTTTGAGATTAAACGTGTTTACAGCAACTCCCTGAAATTCAAAATTTAATGACATCACCGGGTGTATATCAAATTTAAATAAGAAAAATAACTGTGATGTTAATATTTTTTTATTTTTTTATTTTTTTTTTCACCTCATAAGTTTTACCATTCCCCAACTGGACTTGTGTCAAGAATTTCCTGTCTATGTCACTTGCAGCAATTGAGAGGGACCAAGGTGACAAATTTGTAATGGATTCAGGATCAGGGCCTGAATTACCAACAGAATTTGAAGCGAGTATTCAATTTTTCATAGAATGGAAACCGCAATACGTGCAGAAGGCACCCTTCCTCGAGCTGTTCCCGTGCCAAGCCCCAACAAGCTTGCCCCTTGTACAAGGGCCCCGGTCGCTGTGGATGCCGTGTGTGACCCAAATCCTGAGGTGAGGGAATATCGGGTTTCCTTCACTATGATAAAATTTCGCTCAAATTATTTTGCTGCAAAAACATGATTCATTTCTTGTTAGAGAAGTTGAGACTCTAACAGCTCATACTTTTAGATAAAGTGGTTCACTAAGTATGACTCATAAACACAATAATATAGTTTTAACTGCATAATTTGTAGCATTATTAGAAACCGAAAAAGAAGCTAAATGGCTTAAAGATTTACTTTATGGGATATCTTTGGGACTGAAGAATACATTTTTAATATCTATTATGTGTGATAGTCAAGTTACATTAGCAAAAGCACACAATGAGATATGTAACAGAAAGTCTAGACACGAATCTTAGACATGACTACATAAGGGAATTAATCAAGAGTGAAGACTTAGCGGATCCTTTAACTAAATATCTAAATCGAGATTTAGTAATATCTATTTCAAATAGGATGGAATTGAAACTATTAAATTAAAAGATCTACCAATGATGGCAACTATGTAAAATGGTTAAAATTTGGAGTGTCATTTAGTGGCTTCCTTTATTTTGTATCAGAAAATCTTTATAGATTTTCAAATCAATTCAAAATTAGTCAAATTTTCTAGCTGAATTCTAATTTCATTAAACAATTTTGCTATATGAACAGGGCCACGTCGGCCTGTCCGTCGAATTGGCGGCCACATAACCCCTGTTTGAACAAGAACAGCTTTTTCCATTATTAAACTCAACTAATTTCATGCCCAAATCTTTCGAAAGATTTGGGCCGGCAAGCGATCTTGAAATTGGTGCTCATTTCTCGCTGAAATTCTAAAGCTTAGGGATAAGAGAACTGTTCCCATTTAATTATCATTTAATTATTCCTTCATTTAGTCTTCACACAATTTAATAATCACATGATCTAAGACAATCATGACAGAATATCTTGAAAACTAGCAATTCTTTAAAGTCATGGTTGGGATAATAGAGTCGGATTAAAGAATAGAAAAAATAGTATCATCCACTACATAACAGACTACTATTTAACATTATATACTAAGCATATCATCGAACAAACACTGCCATTATCAAGTATTGATTCTAAAGTTCGAAGTGTTCAGAGTCTTCAGACTGTGTAGGGACTATGAAACACAATTGTCGATTCTCAAAATAAGCGGACAAAATAGAAAATACAGCATGGTTGCTTACTTGAATAAAAGAAGTAAAAGATATGAAATTCCATTAGTTTAGTGGCCCAAAAAAAAAAAAGAACAAAGAACAAAGGAATGATTCAAGTGAATCAAGCCTCTTGATACAAACATAACTAATAATATATAAAAATTGAAAATTCTTCTTGCAAATCTTGATTTTTATCTCTCTCTCTACATGAGAGGGCTATTGAGAAGTCCATGCCAAGATGTGGCATTTCCATTCATATGGTTTGTATCCCCATTGCCAAATTGCCATGGAAATCCCCACAATTCTCTTCTTTCATCTTCTCTTGCATTGTGCATTTCTTGCTTCACTCTTGTTTGTGCGACACTTAGCTCCTCAATTTGCATGTTCGTCATCCCATCATTTCCCAAATACCCCATGTTTCCATTCCCGTAGTACAGATTGTGGAATTCATTCGGGTTTTCGAAAAATCCACCTCTAATCTCGTCAAAAAGCCCAGAATCATAACAAGGGATGTTAGGATTACCTGACATGGAAAAACCATGGCCGTCGAATCCCATTACTCCGGTGGTCTGATTTCGTAGCCTGGCAATTGCAAGGCTGAGATCATTGGATTCATAGGATAGAGGTGTTAAAGAAGAGCTAGAAGGACTGGAGGAATTTGTTGTCAATGGTTGATCTTGGCTTCTCTTTGCTGATGATCTTTTGTTCTTCCTGCACCCTCCACCCACTGGAACATTTCTCAATGTTCCACCTTTAGTCCAATATCTCCTGCATGACTTGCAGAAGTATCTTGGCTGGGAAAGACTGTAGTTATTGTAATAGCAAAACTTGGTGTTGTTAGAGTCACATCTAGGACATCTTAGGGATTGCTCACTAGGCCTTGGCTTCTTTTCTTGCTGGGGTTTTGTGCTGCAAACCAACATGCTTTCTAGTGTTTGGGAACCCATTTCCTGAACAGCAACAAAGGAATTATAATTAGAGAAAGAAGACCCATGCGGATTTTTGAATCAAGAACCCAAAATCACTCTAAAAAATGAAATCAAAAGTGAAAAATATATCAAAATGAATCAAGAAAGACTTGTATATCCCACCTGGTTGTGTGCAGTTGAAGGATCCATCCATGCAACAATCAAATCTCCTCCTGAATTGTGAAAGTACAAAGAACAGATGGAGAATTGTTTTTTGAGAGAATTAAGTAATATAAAAGTTTGCAAGATAGCTCCACCCAAGCCTCTACATATACATATATATAGAGTGAGAGAGAGAGGTCGGGGAGAGGAGAGAGGGAGAGTGTGTAAGAGACAATTCACACAGAGGAATTAGCTGTCAGCCAATTCTGTGATGGGTCCCAGTGGCATGATTATGCAAATGGTCCCACCTACATTCTATTTCAAAGTTCGAGCGTCTTTGTCCTATTTGAATAAAAACTGGTTTATTGGCAATAATTATTAGAGACGGTTGCAGACGGTTAAATTTCACCTGCGGTCAGCCTGTCACCGAACATTTAGAATAATATCGAATTAGTTACTTTACTTCAATTTTAGAAAATATCAATGGGGATTGTGTGTGCTTGCCATGCCAAATTTGGATACATTGAACTACGAATTGTGTTTATTTCCAACCAAATTCCAACTTCATTGTCTAACACTTCCAAGTTTCAAAGTGGCTTTTATACGAATAAAGTATACTAGTCAGTTCAAACATTTTATGGATGGCCGTTCAACCCGATTGATCCAATTGGTAGTGTTTGTTGGTTGTGTCAAACTTTGTTTTCTATATACAGCTCTATTAAGTACAATTTACCAAAATTACAAATCGAGTAGAATACATTATATATCTTGGGTATAAACCTTGTTTTGACACTGAACCTATGGGTATGAACTATTTTGGTCGTCATACTTAATGAACTTCTAATTTCTCTCTCCCGTTAGTTACTAGACTAAACTTGGTCTTTGAAAACTAATAGAACTTGTGTGTGCAGGATGAAAATTCTTCTGAAATAATTTGAAACTTTAAATGGGAATAATATGCTACCAAAAAAAAAAACCCTACTTTTACAACCAAATCCATTTTTATAATTTACAATAATATAAAACATGCTTCATAGTTCACGGAATTAAAATCAAACTTTGAGAATAAAATATCCGAAACCTAAATTCCATCTACCACATGTAAGTTGAGTTTAACTTAACTTCAAAAATTATTTCACGTAGGATTTCTATAATCACATGTTCCGTTAGTTTTCACATGTCGAATTGAGTATATAATAAGATAAGATATTATAAATTCAATCTAAATTTTGTATAAAAGTTAAAACTCAATGACCAAAATTAAAACATGCTCACAAGTCAAGTTTTAAAACAAATTCGAATTCAATTGAAACGCTTGGATTCCCGGGGGGCGGGGGGGGGGGGATGCGTTTTGTGGGCCCCTGCAATTGAAATGGATATTCATAGGGTTAGGTTTTTTATAGACCGATGATGATGATAGAACAATGTGGGGTAGGCGACATCCATTAGACAGAGAATATCCACTTTATTTTCATGCATCCCTTCAGAATCCATTGCTTTCCTTCACATTGCCCCTCATTTTTCCACTTCTTAACGGTATTGGTTTAGCGACTAGTCATTGGGATAAGTATCAAACTCTATTATAACCATGTGAAATTTTGCGCAACGACCGAATTTATGTTGTTCAAATTTATTTAGTACTGTATCAAGGGCGAAGTTAGGAAATGAATTTTATTTTATTATTATTTTTTTAACAATGAGTTAATATATAGAAAAAATTCCATAAAAAATTGTTTACATGTGAAAAAAATACAATAAGAATGATTATTGAAATTTGGAGCGTTTTCAAAATATTACATAGATTGGAGTTTCAATAACAATATTTCTCTTCTTTAGTTTTGGAGATTAATTTTAAATATTTACAAAAAGTAATGTAATATATTTTTACTTAGGAGAGTAGGTTCATTAAATGGTTCACATATCACATTACATGTCTACTCACTAACCCGGTGCTATGATTTGGGTTCAATCTCTTTTCTTTTCCCTCGCTCGTTAATCTATTTGATCAAAAATGAAAATTATCTTCACTAAATCACTTGATCTTGAAATTTCAAGAAAAATCTGTACTGTGCTAGCTTGTAGCGATGCAATCATCCATCGTTCTCTCCCCACACATATATATTAAAAAAAAAATGAAAACACATTCCTCTATCTTATCATTGCAAAAGTTCTTGTTAGAGTTTTAATATACATCTTATTAATTTGCCCATGTTTGACAACCATTAAAATAAAATTCTTTATTTTTTCTGAAATTCATTTTCAATCACACATTCTCTACATAAAATATTCTATGCGTAAACCTAATTTTTTTTTTCTAATTTTTGACCACACATTCTCTAAAAAATTCCTATTTCTAAAACCATTTTCCGAAAAAAAATAAAAACTTATTTTAAAGCATTAATGACAATTCATTTAAAGTAAGAATTGGTTCTTATCCATAGAAACGACAAAAAATGATAATCACATGCAATCCAATGAAATGCTAATCAGCCACTAAAAGAAGATTACAAATCCTAATACCTAAACCACTTTGAAATCTTTCTCAATCCTAACAACATTAGTTTTTTTAGGGGGTCCAGTATTATAATTATTATTGGGTTGGTGGGAAAATCAATGTTATCAGAGACAAATAGTCTAAATGTGTCATCATTCAGTTCTATGTTTTAATAAACAGACAATGATTGATTCCACTTAGGATCCCATGACAATCAGACAATGCCTCCCCTCGGCAGCCTACACACACTATCACAGAGTACCTCTTGTTTTAGGGAATACTGAGAGTTTTCGACGAACTATTATCTAAATGTATTTCAAGAGGTGAAGCACCTTGATTGCTACTTCCCTCTTGTAAATACTATTCCTCACTGAGGATGGACGATCACAACTCTCTCTCAATAATAACAACAAATACGTTAGAGGAAATTGTAGGGAAAATAAATACAAATCGATTTTTCAAAAATAAAAAAGTCAATGAGTAGAGGTGAATGAACGAGTTTATAAATGAATCGAGTAATTCTTGGAATGAACTAACTGATTCTTAACTCTTTTAAAATTATTTCTATCAATAAAACGTGGCTTGATTATCTATTTTTCAGTCCAATCGATTGATCTGAATTTCAAAACAATGGTAGAATCCCCAAATTTCGAACAGAAAATTGCGGTGGGCCCCAATGCAAAACTTTGGGACCATGGAGATCGTGGGTAGCCAGCATCAGTCAAGGAAGTTGACTGGTCAAATAAAACACTGAACAAAGTGAAAGTAGGGTTGGGAAACTGTGCCAATTGTGAAAGCATCCTTGTGAAGAAAAGAATCTGCACAGGAAAATAAACCATTTTCATTTTGTAAAAAAAAATGAGATTTGGGTATGCATGGCCCACAATAAGTTTTAGGGAGTGGTGACAATGGGGCCCAGTTGATGATACCAAATGCATGAATAGTACACGTGTCGGACAATTACGGCAACTGTAACATGTAAGTCGAGGAATTGCAATGTCAAATCACTCCTCATCTCCATTGGCTTTCTGGGTGGGTCCATCTAGTTTTCCTGTCTTTTCTCTGTTGCCAAGTAAAGTATAAACTGTCTAATCTCTCTAATTTGTTTTGTAGAGGAAATAGGTTTTGAATTTAGGGTTGTGCTATTTGCACAGGCTGCAAAGAGAAATATCCTTGAATTTAACAAGATAAGATACCTATCAGTTGAGTGAAGCTTGCTAAACATACAGGGTCATGTAGGCCCCTTGTAATGTAGAGGGCCGACACGACTTTATACATGTAGTTTTTCAAAAACGTTGAACCTCAATTTGAGGGTTTCCACTGTCTCGTCCTTAGAACTTAGTGAAGTAGGTAAAATTCGGAATGTGCTCCAATAGGTCAGGGAACAAGAGATTCATGTACACTGCGCTTACAAGGAATCTAATTTCATGTCTCAGAAATCGAACCCCCACACTGCGGCTGCCACCAATACGTGAGATAATATACATGTAGTTTTTCAGTCATGTTATATGTGCATTATGGTTGACAAAAAATTTGATACTTTTTTACAACAATCTACACCTGTAATTTTAAATACATTCATCCTATTAGGCTAGGCCTCAATATATATTAAGTCTTGGGTGGGTTTTGAACTGATTGGGGACTGGGCCTTACTTATGGGGCCCCCACCCCTGCCCCCCAAATAATTTTTTTTTTTTAGGCCCTAGGCTTTGGCCTAGTTCGCCTTTGGCTTGGGCTGGCCTTAGACTGATAGGATGAATGTATTTAAAATTAATGGTGTAAATTGTTGTCAAAGAAAAAAGTATCAAATTTATTGTCAACCATAATGAAGAAAAATATACCATTGAAACAGTTTGAATTCAATGGAATTTGCCTTGGCTGAACAAGAAGAATTTCAGTTATTTCAACTACGTTAAATGATCCTTCAAATTGGTCAAGACTATCTAGTTTACGGCCGCCTCTCTATGATACCAGTTGTTACTTCATTTAATTTGCTTCACTAGTCATTAATTAATATAGGCTCGTGATTCGACTTTGATTGTTATGGGTTTAGCCAGTTGTTACTTCATATATATATATATAGGTTTAGCTAGTAGTGAGAGGAAGAGAGGAGATGATTTATTGAGCTAATCTCTTCAAGTTCGTCCATCATCGCCACCAAATGATCCCAAGGTGGAAGAGACGTCGAAGTCTAAAACATCAGAAATGGGAAATATAAGCTTCTCTCTTTTTCACTTTGG